TAAGTGTGACTTAATCATGAGATCCCATTAAACATAAGACACTATTCTTAAAGTATCTGTAGTCAAGCTTTAATGTGAAGTGGGATAACATTAAAGCATTAAGATTATTATGAAGATAGATTGATGATCACATCTCATGGATCATAGATAAGGAGTTATCAAGTCTTGACATAGGTATGAATATTAGGAGTAATATTTATACTGGATTGACCCGTTATGAGAATACTACATAGAATGTTATGCAAAGTGTCATAAGTTATTCTCATGATGATAATGGTGTATACCACCCTTCGACCTGAAACCACTATGGACCCTAGATGTAGAGTCAAGTACTTTATTGCTGATCAAACGTCATTCGTAACTGGATGACTATAAAGACGGTTGATGGGTACTTCACAAAGCATGCTAAGGGACATGAGTGACCTAGATGGAATTTTCTCATCCTGCATAACAGGATAAATGTCTAAGGGCCCAATATTGAATTGGACAAGGGTGACACAGTGTATGCCTTGTGTTCAATATAGACATGAGGGCAAAAGGGTAATTGTACAACACAAATATTATCACGGAAAAGGTTTGGTCAGATCACATGACATTTTCGTGACTTGGGTAACAGTGATGTGTTGCTAGATACCGCTCACTGTTTATTATATTAAATGTGTGATTTAATATAATTGCCAACGTCGCGAAAACCTACAGGGTCACACACATAAGGACAGGTTGATGAGAGATAGAATAAATAAGGAAAACCGTAAGGTACGGTGCACTTAAGTGTAATACGGAAAGTGGTAAGGTACCACGTGGATAAGTGATATATGGTACATCATAAGGTATGATATCCATAAGCTTAATTGGGCTTTTAGCTTATAGCCTTAATTGGGCTTTTAGCTTGTAGCCCACACGAGTGATTCTATAAATAGATCCCTTGTGATGAAGCAATTCTACTTGATGCAATTTCGTTTTTGATTCTCTCTCTCACTTAAGGTTTCCGTTCGTGATCAGCTAGCATTGTGACCGGAAGCGATCTGTTCGTGTGGACTGAGTAGAGGCGTTGTTCTTCATCAACGCTCGTGATCACAACATCAAAGGTCTGAATCGCCACAAGAGGTAAATATTTCTATCACTGACCATGCTCATTCGTAAGGATCGCTAAAGGAAAATTTTAAATTCCGCTGCGCTTTTGATCGCAATTTTCCTTCATCTACAAGCAATGACGAAGGAGAGAACCTTTGCACGCCATGATTCAAATTATTCAGAAGATGGTATGGTGGTTACGGTTGCAGTTGCAGATAACCATGTCGAATCCAAGATCCGGTTTCTCGACTCAGGCTGCTCGAACCATATGACTGGTCGAAAGGAGTGGTTGGCAGATTTTGACGAGTCGAAGAAGAGCAAGGTAAAACTTGTTGATTATAGTTTATTGCAAGCAGAAGGTATTGACAACATAGTCTTTCGAATGAGTAATAAAGGGAAAGCTAATATAAAATATGTGTTATATGTATCTGGAATGAAGTGCAACTTGCTAAGTATTGGACAACTAGTCGAAAAAGGTTTCTCAATTGTCATGAAAGATGGAGTTTTAAAATTATTTGACACCAAGAACAATTTGGTCTTAAAATCTCCTATGTCGAAGAACAGGACGTTTAAGACCATGATCAGTTCGACTGAAGTACAGTGTCTAAAGACTGTTGTCTACCACAAGGATAGTTGGTTGTGGCATTTGATGTTTGGATAATTAAATTTTCGATCACTCAATCAATTGATTACTCAATATGTGGTATATGGAATCCCAAGTCTTAAGATACCCGAAAAACTTTGTGAAGGTTGTTTAGTCGAAAAGCAATGCATAAACTATTTTGTTTCGACTATGCCATTAAGATCATCATGCATACTCAAAGTGATGCATTCAGATGTATATGTTTCGTTCGAAGAACATACCATTGGTGGAAACATATATTTTGTTTCGTTTGTCGATAAGTTTAGTCGAAAGTTGTGAATCTATGTGATCAAGAGAAAAGATGAAGTATTTGAAATCTTTAAGAGAATCAAGATGCTTGTCAAAAACTAGAGTGAGAAGAGGATCAAAGTTCTGAGAACAGTTGGAGGTGGCGAATACACTTCGAAGATGTTTGAAATTTTTTATGCAGAACATGGTGTTGATCATGAGATAACTGCTCCTTATATGCCTCAACATAATGGAATTGCAGAAAGAAGAAACAAAACCATATTGGATATGGCGAGATGCATGCTGAAGCAAAAGAATTTGCCAAAATATCTATGGGGTGAAGTTATTTCGACTGCAGTTTATATCTTGAGCAAGTGTCTTACCAAGATATTGAAGAACAAGGTTCCTGAAGAAGTATGGAGTGTAAAACGACCATTGGTGAGTCACTTGAATGTGATTGGCTCAATGTGATATAAGCATGTTTCTGATGCGAGAAGAAGGAGGATTGATAACAAGAGTGAACTTATGATTCTTATAGGATATCATAAGACATGTGTATACAGGATATTCAATCCAATTAATGAGAAGATTATGTTAAGTCGAGATATTGTGATTGATGAAAATTATGCTTGCGATTGGAATTCTAGTAATTCAATTAACAAGTCATTGATGAGCTCCAATTTTGATGAAGAAACTAATGAAGTCGAAGTCGAAGGAATTACTGAGAATCCAGTCGATGTCGAAGTAGAAGCAGTTGCTGACATTCTAGAAACAGTCGAAGTTGAAGAGGTTGTGGCTGAAACAAGCCAAAGACCTCAAAGAAATAGATTTCTTCCAACAAGACTTCATGATTATGAGGTAGTAAATAATGATAAAGTCACACCAGATGGAGAATTAGTTCATTTTTGTTTACTTGCAGATGCTGAACCAATCAACCATAACAAAGTTTTAAAGATTAAACAGTGGAAGTTAGTCATGGTCGAAGAGTTACAAGCAATCAAAAGAAACAATACATGGGAGTTAGTTGAATTATCAGCATATATAAAATCTATCAAAGTGAAGTGGGTGTTCAAGTTGAAACACAATGTTGATGTTTCGATATTAAGACATAAATCAAGATTAATAGTTTGAGGGTTTCTTCAACGAGAAGAACTCGACTACTCTGAAGTATTTATTCCAGTAGCAAGATTGGAGATTATTCAATTAGTAGTAGCATTGGCATGTAATTAAGGTTGGTCGATATTTCATTTAGATGTGAAATCATCATTTCTAAATGATCCTTTAGATGAAGAGATCTATGTCACACAACCTCCATGGTTTATGATTCAGAAGGAAGCGAGTAAAGTATATAAGTTGCACAAAGTACTTTATGGCCTCAAGCAGGCACCTAGGGCATGGAACAAGAAGATCGACTCATACTTAGTCGAATTGGAATTTGTCAAATGCAAACCTGAGTATGGTGTCTATGTTCAGATTGTAGCACAAGATATAACAATCATTTACTTATATGTCGATGACTTGCTAGTAACTGGAAACAATTTGGAGAACTTGTCAAAATTCAAAGAGTTGATGATGAAGGAATTTGAAATGTCGTATATGAGAAAATTGTCTTATTTCCTAGACATGGAGTTTCAAATGTTGAAGCAAGGTATGGTGCTACATCAAAGAAAATATGTCAAGGAGATACTCAAGAGATTCACAATGGATGATTTGAATCCTGCATCCTCACGTGTCGAACCAAATGTGAAATTGGAGAAGAATGGAGAGGAAGATAAAGTTGATGTAACTTTGTTCAAGCAAATCGTGAGATCTTTGAGATATGTGTGCAAGGTCGACTTGATATAGATTTCGTTGTCGGAATATTAAGCAAATATATGAGTGAACCAAGAGTGTCACATATTATGACTACAAGAAGAATCCTGAGATATTTGAAGGGTTCGATAAATTGTGAAATATTATTTCGACGAGATTCTGAAGACAAAGAAGCAATAGTTAATTATTTTTCAAGTGTTGATTGGTGCGGAGAAAAGGAAGATCGAAGAAGCACAACTAGATATTTCTTTCAAGTATTTGGTGCCCCAATCTCATGGTGTTCGAAGAAAAAACTTGTGGTGGCATTGTCATCGTGTGAAGCTGAATATATAGCAATATCATATGTTGCATGTCAAGCAATTTAAATCAGATTTGTACTTGAATAAATAGATATCGAAGTAAAGAAACCTCTAGTGTTGCAAATCAAAAACAAGTCTATCATAAATCTGGCGAAGAATGCGGTTATGCATGGAATAAGTAAACATATCGAAGCTAGGTTTCACTTCTTAAAGGAAAAGGTAAATCGAGGTGAACTTGAAGTTATGTATTGCTCAAGTGAAGCACAGTTGACCGACATTTTCATCAAATAATTGAAGATCGACATATTCTTTAATTTGAGAAAGAAATTAAGAATAGTTCAGATCGACTGTGACTAGCGTAGATTCAATAACTTGGATTATGAGGGTGTGTTGAAATATTTAAATAGATTAAATTAAATTAAATTTAATATTTAAATATAATTCATGTTGTGTTAGCCTAAGCATAATTAAAATTATATATAAATAGTCAAAGTATGTATCATTATTTTATACAATTCATTAAGTGAATAATAGAATTCTTATTTTCTTTATTATTCTCTCTTTCTCTTATCATTAAAAGTACCCCTCACTAACAAATTCAAACCCCTATTTCTTATACTTTTCACTATATCTAATTGACATTAAATATGAGTCTCTTGGTTAATCACTAATAGTGAGAGAAAAGATCTTATGATAATAAAGATGTTTTATAATCGTGAAAAAAAAAACTCTTCTAGAAGCCAAGGAGATAATAGTTCATTGAAATGAGAATCGTTCATAAGCAAAACCACACCATTATGTATGTAGTAAACAAATGTCTCAAATGTTAGGTCTACATAAGAGAATTCCCATGCTTTCAATACGGAAAGTGATGGAGAATTTTATTTCTGAAGAATTTAAATATCAGTACCAAATGAAATCAAATTGAGAACATCTAGAAGCCACTATCTATCTTTGATTTCTTGTTCAAATTGAAGCAGCTTTTCCCGAATAGGCTGTAAAAATAACTTCAAGTTGTTGTATATTTCAATTTTATCTTGAGGTGAGATATCTGATGCTTCATTAAGTCTCACTTCCACCTGCATCATCAAAAATTGCCATAATGAACAAACAGATGATCAAGCAAATAACAAGTCATAATTTAACAAAGCTTCCTTTTTGTAGACCGGAAAGTAACTTCACGGAAGAAGGATGATTAGAGTCAGATCCATCTCAAGTTTTTTAGGATAGGAGGCTTGGTGTAGATTAGCTGCAGATTAACCATAGCAAAACAAATAGAGACCCTATTTAGCTACAGTTTAACTGTGACAAATTTTGGGCCCTGTGCTGTAGTCCGCCTTACACACCTTCAAAGAAAGCTCTGATTAGGGTTTAGGGTTTAAACAATCAAAAACCAAAAACAGAAAAACTCCACGAAAAAGGGGCGATTGCTTGTGCACTTTGGTTCAAAGATTACATCTTAGACAAGGAACGCGAATGTAGGACATCAAAGTGTTTCATAGGGCTTTATTCGGAAATTTTGGCATTAGTGCTGGTGGATTAAACGATTTGGAATCAATATAACGATCAAAAGGGTTAATTCAACTCATTATAGGTGCTGAGAGCAGTTACTGGAGAATGTCTATAATACAAAGGAAAAAAAATATAAACCTTCAAAATCACCAAGAATAAAACTGCATTAACATAACAAATCATGCAAGATCGACCCACTTGCTAATAATTGATGGGCATAACTTAACCTCTCTGTTAGTAAGATCATAATATATGTGGTGGAATAAGGCATGTGTTTACCAAATCAGTTTAAGCATGTTATGTACAAAATAACAACAAAAGCATTTTTCAGATAACGTTCGTATTGTAATTCATATGAAACTTTGAATAGTGAGTTATCTCAAAAAATGTTCTAAAAACCAGATGAAGGCCACAGTTCAAGTCAAAGATTTATGTTGGTTGGCTTAACCAACATAAAAATCTTAGCGTGTCCTCAAAATTCTTACACTTAAAAATTCTGTTTTTTATAAGTGAAAATTTATCTCATTTGATTAGATATAATTGATTCCATTATATAGTATAAGGATTTTTACAGAAAGAATATGCAGAAAGCATGTAAGTTTCTTTGGACTCTCCCAAGTCCAAACTCTAATTCTCACAAAAATGACTGCCTCCTTTCAACCCACTATTCTCCATAAAAAAAATTTTTTTTTCATCATTCTTAATCTGAACCAGTTTCTATCAATGAGATTAACCATATGGCTCGAAGAACTCCATAATATTGTATTGTAAATCATCATGTCTAATGAAAGACTATTTAGATTCATATCCTTCCCAGTGGTTTGACCTATGGTTTTTCTTGATATCCCCAACCAAAAATGTCCTCCATTTGGTCTAACCTCTTCTATAAGCCTTTTTCATACAAGCCCGAATCAGCAAAGATAATTCTACCAGCTTTTCCAAATAGGTGTGGCTATTTAGCTGTCACAACATAAATGTGCACCAATTCACATATTGGGAAAACACATGGCCTCATACTTTCATTGTGTCATTATCAATTTCGTTATGGCACAAACCAAATAAAAAAAGAACGAACCACGCAAAAAAAAAATCAACAGCTAGAGATCTAGTTAAGCCATTTTAAGTTTGAGTGTCTCAAAAGTGTTAAAAACCAGTAATAAGAGGTACCTGCAAGTCATCGAGTTCACCGAATGAGATCTCCGGAACATCTATTTGCCCCCCAACCAACTTCTTATTTCCTTGTATAATCCACTCCCCTGTATCCAATTGCAAAACATGACTTGTAAATTAGTTAAACAAAAAACCCAAATAAAATAAAATAAATAACAATTGGATTCAAATATCAACATGAAAAGTAAAGCAATGAGTCACCTTTCACTCTTAAGGACAACTCATATGTGAAACTCACACGTTTCTTGTTCCGAACAACCACCACAAGTGCCTGTAATAAATACATAATCAGGGTCTCACACTTTTCCAAGATTAAGTTATGGCAAAAAGGGCCTCCAAGAATAAATGTAAAACTTACATCTCCAACACATTTAGTTACATCTTCAACTTCTGCTCTGCCAGACGAGAACGATATAGACCCGACCGAAACGAGCAACTCCTGAAAAAACAAACTACATTAACTATGTGTGAATGTAACCATTACAAGCATGTATGAAATTGCAAGACACAAACCTTAATTCTTGGAATGGCCCAATGGTTAAGACTCTTCTCTTCCCATGTCCCAGCCTATATAACAACAAGAACAAATTAATCAGTAAATTTATTGATTAAGTACAGTGGTAGTAGGAAAGAAAGAACGTACTCGATTCCAAGCAGAGCCAGGTTGAGATCGAGAAGTGGGGGGAGATGGATCTATTTTGTTGTGCACGGGTAAAGGTGCTGCATCTTCTGTGATTTTCCTCACCCAGTATGTGTAGGAAGGTTTTTGTTGCTTCTCTTCACCTCCGGACTCCATTTTCGACTGATTCTTCAACCACCTAACCCCTCTTTTTCCACTGATGCTGTTGCAACTTCCTCTTCCAGAACCTTCCTTCCTCTACTCCATTTAATAAATACATTTTTGGTGCTTTTTTTTAATAATTATCTTTTCCAACAATAATACAAAAATATTTCAAAATACTCATGTTTAAAAAAAAAATTCACGCTCTCATTTAATTTTTTATATGACAAGTTATACGAATTCACACCCTCATTTCATTATTTATAAGTTAGTCATTATAAATACTATATTGTTACTGTTGTACTGAATGTGTAAATGAATTTTTTTAGATAGTTTTTTTATGGTTAATTGATTGGATTAAATAATGTTACGTGATATTTAAAATTTAAAATTAAAATTAGATTTCATATTTTTTTTACTTTTTCATATATTATATTTTTTACTTAGTTTTTGTTAATCTTTTTTTTTATGTTTTCTTATTTTTTTATTAATATTTTTTATGAAATTATATCTATAAAATATTAGTTTAGGGTTTAAAGTTTAATATCTTCTCATGGCCCATATATTTAAAGAATTATACATGTGTGTATTTGTCTTATAAATACTAATGATGTTTTTATAAAATTCGATGTGGAACTCTAATGTTGAACTATGAGGAACATCATCATGGTTCTTTCACGAGGAGCATCATCATGCTTATGGAATGTCTGGATCATGCTCACATTTTCACTCGAAGTTACGAAACCACGGCTTGCATCATCATCACTAAGAAGAGTTGTAAATTCAAATATAAAAGAAAGCATACTAATATTTAGTGTGCTACCTGTTGTCTTGTCTTTCAAAAATGCATCAAAACTCAACTTACTTAGTCGATTTTCACCATTTATTATCTATATTACTTAAATAAAAAGTTGTGATACATTAAAAAATTGGGTTGCCTCCCAACAAGCATTTATTTTACGTCGTTAGCTCGACACCTTTATTTATTGACACTCCTCTGCGTTCCCTCTTTATATGACCAATTGTTCACCAACGGCTACTCCTAACCAACACTTTAGCAAACATGAATGGAAACAAAGGTATATACATACACAAACATGATGGATAACACATATACACAAAATAAACAAGTATGGCAAACAAGTACAAACAAACATATATACAATATAGATAAGTATGGAAAACATGTATAAATATACAAGTATGGAAAACATGTATAAATATACAAGTATAGGATGGTGTCGACTGCTAAAACAAACTACTTAAGGCTTTATTTAAGGGTGATATTTTAAGGTGAAAGCATAATAATTATCCAAATTGACCTTTATATTTGAGAAACTTGCGGTGTTAACATGATACTGATATTTTTGGACATTTTCCCAAGTTTATATAACCTATCTTAAACTTATCTAATAGCCATAATTTAAAACAACCACTGTTTATTTTTGCAAATATTTTTGGTATGGCTCAAGAAAAGGAAAAAGTTCAATAGACGTCAAAATCCATGTTATAACGAGTTGATAAGACAAACTTCATTAAAGAAAATACTTTAATAGAATACTTGAAAACATTAAATCTAAATCTAACTAGAAAGTGAGAAATCTAATTAGAAAGCGAATAAAGTTCCTCTCTCACACTTAAATCAAACATTATCCTCAATATTTTAACCTAAAATGATACAAGAATGATAGAACCTGGTGTGTGATCAGATTAGTGGCCATGACGACCATTAGCTTTCCTAAACGAGTGAATTTCTTGGAATAGATGGTCCATCTACTCAATAAATCTATCGTCTTGTTCTCTTTGTTCATGGCGGGGGGTTGCGATTTTCCATATTAAAGAGTGTAGCTCAAAGTCAATAGTGTGTTTATCATAAGATTCTAATGAAGGTACATCCGAGAGAGGAGACTCAAGTTGTGCAGGGTTTTCATTGTGGTTCTCTAGTTGGTATCGCTAGTTGTTTTTGTTGTGGACACTAGTGAACTCTTGGTTTGGTAGGGTGAAATGGTGGACTACCTCATAATTAATAAGAGTTTTAAATTGGTTAGGTCCTTCACGCCTTACTAAGCTATAGTTTAGACAATGGTTAATATCCAAAAGATTGTATCCGCAGGTTTGGGTTAAATGGGCTACACGATTGCGCAAGCTTAGTGCTATAGAAATGTGAGTAACTAATCCTCCCACATAAATATTCTATATGGTTTTGTTAGCAACCTTGTTGAGATTTGTCAGTAGGAAGGCTGCAGAGTTGATTGGACGATTTTGGAAAACACTCAAGATGAAAAACATCTCTTCTTTGGTTACACCTGTTCGGTTTTCAGCTTTTCCAAAGAATGTTGGGATGCGGTCATATGGAAGTACCTAATTGCAGGATTATGGATTAGGGTTTTGTTTATGGCTTCATGATCGGGGTAAAGATCATCGGTGATTTCTCTTCTGAAGTAATCTAATTCACGTTACATATCTTCTGGAACTTCAGAGAAGGCATTAGGGCTATAGTGGAAACTAAAGGATCTAGCTAGTTCTCTATAGATAATATGATACTCTCGTCTAAAGAGTATAAAGGTAGCTAAGCTTCTATTTGGTCATGCTCCGAGGTTGGGTTAGAAATTGAATGAACTTAGGAATTCCAGTGTCAGGTTTTTTGTAAGTAGGGTGCTTTACTATTAAGAATCTTTCTCAACTTATTTGATCAAACATAAAGCGAACACTTTCAGCAAGTCCTAAGTAAACCAAGGAAGGAAAATTTGGGTAGCGGGTAGGTGAGATTTTTCTCTCATCTAAGATGTCATAACGCCTTTGTAACACGGTGGGATAACTGACTTGGTTGTTTTGCGTTTGATCGCAAATGTTGCGGTTTAGCAAGAGTCGCCACCGACTTTTCTTTTATCCAATAAAGGAAAGGGTGAAAAGAACAAGAAAGACCTTTGAGATGTTTTCTTGAGTTCGGGGGGTAGATTATGAAAAGGGAAGGTATTAGCACCCTTTTCATCCGTAGTTATCTACGGGCTCTTAGTTGCTTGGTAGATCACTTGCTTTTGTTTGAAAATGTGCTTTGTGTGTTTTTTGAAAGTATTTTGAAAAAGGCGCAATCGTTTAGGAAAACTTTGTAATGGTTCTCGTTTTGTAAGAACGTATACAAAGTGTTGGACTTTTGAAAATATTTCATGTTTTGAAAGTGTTTGGTGTTTGTTTTGAAAGTGTTTGGTGTGTATTTGTTTTGAAAGTGAGCAAGCAACTAAGAACGTTTCTACCTACTCAAAAGTCTTTTGTTCATTTCTCTCCTTTCTTTTGATATTGCCATCTTACCATTGATTGGTAAGAAGCCTTATCTTTGGATGTAAAAGGGGCGGGCATGGGTCATCATATAGTCATAGAAGGCAACATTGTAGGATACCTTAGCAATTTGTTGTAAGGGACTAAGATCGTTTACGAAGGCAACGTTGAAGGGTCATCGAGGGACTACGATCTTGTATTCGAGGGTCATTGCTAAATTATCCCACGTTCGAGGGACATGACTATTTTTTAGGCAACAAATAGAGTTAACCTTAGGGGTGTATGTGTGAATAGTGTGTTTGATTTGCATGCATTTAATCTCTCATTAGGGTTATCTACTTGTTGATTTTTTTATCTTCCCATACAAATCCTAATTACTAATATTTATATGAAAGCGATAAATTGCAGAAAATAAATTTACTACGCTATTACATCATTAGGGGAATGGTGTATACACATTTACAAATGGGGAGATGAAAAAAAATAAACCTAATTTACTATTACAAAGCTTTGACAATTACATAATTATAGTGCGAAATAATAAAATGTACAAATAAATATAAAGAGAAGAGAAATTATTTTTTATGTTTTTTTTATGAAAATAAGTTCTAATTGATTTGAAAAGAAATTAATTAAAATTATAATGTCTAAATCAATTTAATCAAAATAAACCAAATTGAAATAAAACCTAAGTCTAAATTTTAAATTAATTTTAAGAAAATAAATTGATTTTAATAAGAAAATGTTTTTTTGTCTTTTTTAGTTTAGAAAAAAAAGAATAAAACAAAAGTGTATGCATACATATTTAAATAAAATATTTTTTATTTAAAATTTTTATATGAAAATAATAATAATAAAATTATAAATAAAAAATAAAAAAAAAAGATTGAAAAAAGTTTTATGAGCTGACACACGAGCTTATGTATTGGCTCATCCAGATTTCGTATTGGCTCATGTGTCGGCTCATGTGTTGACTCATGTATGTTTCTTGCTCCTGAAAGTTAAAACAACTCAGTATGAGTCGATGCATACTAGTTTCGTGTCGACTCATAAATATTTTGTATCGGTGCATACGTGTTTCATGTCTACGCATAACCTATTTTGAACATAGTATGTGTCGACTCATAGCATTTCGTGTCGACGCATAACTGCTGTTTTTTGTTTTTATCACTGTTTTGCTACATGTAAAAGTCAATTCTCAACACATGGTTAGTGAAAATGAAAATCAAGCATATGGTTAGCTTCAAGGGAATTATATCTACATTTTATCTTCACAAATGAACCATTAATGATGCTTTTATGAAGAGTTCAAAGTCAAGAAAACTTACCTTGAAACTGAAATTTGTGCTTTGAGTTTGAGTTGTTGTATGGGCTGTTATTGAGCTTGGGAAGTGATGATAGTGATGTTACATAAGTTTTTCTTGTGTTTGAACAACTTCTATATGATGTATGTGGAGTGTTTGGATGGTTTGTTTGGAGAAAACTTGCAAAGTATGAGATTCAAAGATTTGGACTCCAAAGCTCAAAATGGAGGTTTCGTGGGCAATTCTGGTTTTTGACAGCAAAAATGATTTTGAGTGTTATTTTCCCCTTCTTCTTTCTCTTTCAATTGGCCTCTCTATTTATAGAGAAGGTTTGATACTTCAAACAACTCAGATTTTGAATCACATGTTATGGCTATCTTGCTTGTTTTTGAAGCAAGCATGAAGAACATGTTTCCAATGCTTGTACCAAGCTAT